TATATATATATATATATACATATATATATAGTGCTACTACACAACAAAACTTAGCTTCACTGAGCTGCTGAGGGATTTATCCCAAATCTTCACCTCTCTAAACAAATAAAAAGGTGTGCTTTTGGTAGACATTTGGATTTCATCTCAATGGAGAGGCAAGCCTAAGCACAGTGCTGAGGTGAATGCTCACAACAATAGTTTTTATCACACCGTCTCCTTCCTGCTAAGACACCGCATGAAACACAGATATGGTTTCAACATCAAAAAGTCTGGCCGTCGTCTGACCTTCACGGAGGAAGCTGGGTTGTTGCATCCATCTAAGATACGCCACGCTACTGAACAAATAAACACAAAGGCAGGTAGTAACACACACTCTCATGCTAGCCATGCGCACCTCAATTCTTTTATTTTTCTTCATAAAACCATAAATCGAATTTTAAGAGCAAGTCAGCTGCAGGAAAATATTTAGAGATGAACACTGGAAATAATCTATGTTCTTTTTTTTCCTTTTTCTAATATCTATAAATTGATTAAAGTGCATGTTATTATTTTGACTTTTTTGGTATATCTAAAGCAAAACATATATAGATATTTCTTTATTAGATTAAAGAAATTTGCCAAATTATGCATGAAATTTAGCATTTTAATCGTGTGTAAAAAATTGTGATATATATCTCCCCTTTTTTGATATTCAAAAAAATACAAAGGAGAAAATGGATTTATATTAAGTTAAAATATAGCAGAATTTGGTCCCTTTTTTTTATAAAAAAAAATTTTGTTTCTTTAGTCGAGACAAACAGAAAAGAAAAGGTTTGATTTCTATTCTAAACATTAAAAACATGAAAAAACTAATAGATGAAAAGCTTAATGAGGTAAGAAGGATGGAGCTGCTGAGGAATCAAAGCCAACAGAGTCAATTAGCTGAGTGGATGCCTGCAAATCGTTATGCTTCAAACAAAAAAAGGACTCATCGGTTCAAACCGCATATTTCCAACCCCAGGCTCCTACATGTTTACAACCCAGCTGTTGCTGTGAATTAGTGAAAAATGCTACTTGAATTCCCAACTGCAAACAACAAATGTTTAATATTTAACGAGCTTATAATTATTTTCATGTGACCTTTTTGTTGTTTTTTAATACAAACATCTAATCAATTACGTTTTTAGTCATTTCTAACCACATCTGGGTTGATTTTAATTTGTTGCGTCTTATTATATAGTAAACGCCCTGAAAGCAACACATGGCCATTCCTTCATCATGACTCACATAAAAAGCTGCACATGAACATCAAAAAAAAAAAGTATATGAGAGGGGTGTAACGTACCTGCAGCTGGAAGTAGAGAACCAGAAAGTGTAAACACCTAGGAGGAGAGAGGGGGGAGTAAATCACACGGGCAATTACATGGAAAATAAACGCAGGCTACCTCAATGACAGCAATGCACAAACAGCATATGAAGTTTTTGGCGACTTCTATTGGTAAGAATGCACGAGATTATGCGCAAAAACATGCAAAGAGAATTTTGAGCGCTTACAGGTAGAGGAACCTTGAAGGGAGCACGGACATCTTGGCTCTCAGAAAGACGGCTGAAATGCACCTGCTTCCTCACACTCAGAGCCCCGGGAAAGCTTGGAGGGATCGCCCCTTTCTCTGTGTCTCTCTCAGGCTTTGCGCGTCTTTTTACGCACACAACTCTTTTTACGCACACAACTCCGGCGGTAAGTAGGAGACCGAATCCCAGTGTAAGGATACATGCAGCAGGAAAGGCACGGACTGCAACATTGGGTGCTTCCTTGTTGGGGGGGAAACTACCCCAAAAAGTTTTAACTTCTCAGATCAGGTCCTCAGAGTTACAAAAGTTCACCTTAAAGTGGAGCCAAGCTGCGACGTCTCACAAAAATCCCCCTTACTTGAAAAAAAAAAAAGGAAAAATATCCCTTGAGCTTCTGCTTCCTCCAGAGATCACAGGCTCTTCATCTTGGTCCGGACCTGAAGGGGATTTCTACACCTTGCAAGGCGCATTTTATTCTAACAATGACGGAATGTAAAAAAATAATAATAAAATGAAGCGTTCCTGGGAGGACAACTGGAGCAGACAAACTTATCCAGGTCGAATCAGATTTTCTCTTTAAAAAAAAAAAAAGTGGCAGTGACAGTAGAAGTCGCAGATCCCTGGAGAGGCTGATGATAGCGCAGCGCTGCCTGCACGCCTGTCAGTGGTGTTTGCGCTTCTGCGGCTGCAGATTTGGGCACAGAGAGGCTTTTTTGTTGTTGGTGGGTGGAAACATGTCAGCGGTTTGCACCTGATAGGGTAATCGCGGAGAGACCATCAGCTTCAGATGTTTTTTTTTTTTTTTTTTTTTTTTTACCCTGATGGGCAAAGCGCAAGTAGATGATTTTACTTTTTAAAATCATTCTTTCCCTTTAAGTCTACTTAAAAAAAGGAATACATTAGATCTCAATAAGGACATCTACAGCTTTAGGAGTTTTAAGCTACTTAATTATGTAGATTCCGTTTAATATAATCATTGCTTATTATTATAATTCGTTTTATTTCTCACATTGGTGTGGTTTTGATGAGCTCCATTGTTGGGGTAAGCAACAGAAACTTGTCCTTTACATCTCTTCTCTGTGCGCTTTTTAAATCAATGTGAGTTTGTGGATTGGCCCATGCTCTCCCAGACAGCATTCAAATGTATTTCTTTTTTTTCTGTCCTTCAATTATGTGCCATAACTTATCCGACATTTAAATAAAAGAGAGGTGCGAATGCGTTTACGAGTGTTGGAGAGCTGGCAGCGTTGGAGTGAGGCTGCCATTTAAAGAAAAGAGAGAGAAAAACAACAACTTTTGTGGTTCGGTTTTATTGACCCATTAAAACTGGATCCTCGGGATTCCTTCTGCATTGACATTTAAAATAATTCTGAATGATTACATATACGACTTCCCATGCGTGCTGGGGATTTCAAAGGATCTCCAGCTGCTGGTCTGGTGGGAAATGAAGCGAAGCGCTCCAGCTGCTGATCAGCATGGGGCAGGACAACACAACTCCAGAAGAATATGTTGTTCCTTTTAATGAAAAGAGGGTAAAAAATGCATCATAACAATATAAAAAAAAATTTATATCAGACAAAAATTGTCTCTAATTTGTGTCTATCTTCAAGAGGTAAATAAAACCAAGCTGAGGTAGTTGTTTCTAATTGATTGATGCTTGTGTAAATATGCTGGTTTTGGTATTTGATCATATCCACTTTACATTATCTACAGCTCACCCCTCACAAAGCTTTCTCTGCATATGAAAAGTAAAAACACCTGAGGAGGGATTTACAGGGAAGATGATTAAGAGTCATTAGCTGAGGGGTCTGTGTTGGAATCCGCCTTGTAGCTTCACTAAGCATGTCTGCAACACATGTTTGTGACAAATTTGTCCAAGCATGACTGGAGAAGAACAGACAGATAGGGAAAATGGATACAGATGGAAGGAGGAAAACATGTTTGTTCTTTTAATAAAACCTTTAGAGCACTCTACAATGAAAAATATAAAACAACTGCTTTTGGCATTTATTTAACCATATTTAGTTACTTTAAGACAGTTGTTTCATGTCCAACCCCGCCAACATGACACAATTGTGTTAAAGTAACTAATATGATTAAGTAAATGCCAAAAGTAGTTGCATTATTTTTTTTCAAAAAAAAAATGATACAAACCCAGACTTTACCTTTAAAACGTATGTTATTTTTTCAATATATATTTGATCTTCTTTTTTTTAACATTTTACATGATGTGGTTTAATTGCATTCCTCATCCCAGTGTTAGTGCTTGAAGGCTGTTAATACAAAAGACATCTTTGGGTGTAGTTTTTTACAGGATCCGGGTCTTTATCTTGATATTTGATTTAGGCATTTAAAACAAGTATGCACTCCCTTAAAATGACGTCCAAAGATTGGACCTATAATCTTACATTCCAATCACTCCTGACACATGTCGGTGTATCCTTGAACAAGGCAACTAATCCATGAATTGATGCACCTTTGTGAGTGATGTTCTGTAGCATAGAAGATGAAGCTCTAAGAGAGGGCTCTTGGCAACTTAGATCAGAAGTGCCAACCTAATTTCTCTATTGAGTCATTTCAGGGTTATCAATTCTTTAAAAAGGACTGTTTGCAGCCATATAGATTATTTTTTTTAATTCTATCATTTCCTGGAGGATATACTTACCTTATTATAATTTAACTATTATTTATTTAGCATTTATTACACTTAAAAACATATATTCACATCTGGCAACATGCCTTATATGGCTCTTGAAGGCCGAATAAATCCTCTTGGTAGTGGGACAGATTTGGCTCATGGCATTTGGTTTGACACATATGATCAGGAAACATTGCACAAACAGAAATGTTTAAATTCAAGCCAAGTATGGGGAAAGCATACAGTTCTAATAATATAGCTAACTTTAGCTAAAATCTGATTTGATTAACCCAGATTCTACAAATGCATCTTTTTTTTCAGCAGCATGAAACCCCGATAACTCTGAAACTCTATAATGATTTTCTTTTTTTCATACCTCATCACCCATCCACAGTTGGCAAGGTAAATATGGCAGGTTTATCCGTATTATACATTTCTAAAACTTAACATAAGATCAATGTATATATTTAAGACTAAAAAGATAATTCAGTTATATTTATTTTAAAGTGACTGATGGTTCCAGTATGCCGGTTCCCTTTGCAAATGAGATCTAGATCTCTATGGGGTTTTATTCTGCTTATATAAAGGAAAATTAAATGAACAAACTAAACATGAATATTGGCTTTTTATTTCTCGCCGATGAATGTAGTTAAATAAAACATACTTTTTTTTTTCTTTTTTCAGTTAAAGATAAAACAATTGCCATAAAAGAATAATGTATTTCATGTTGTTTTACACATCTTTACCAATGATGCCAATGATTGTGTTCTGCACAGTATCGTCCCCCAGCAACAATTGGAGAAGCAGGATTTTTTTCCTTTTTATTTTTAAACTGTCTTTTTCTTTTCTCAGACTTGAGAGTTTGGGGAATAGTTTCTGGACACAAGCCAAGTGTCTGATGGTTCTGGCATGCACTCCTCTGCTGTAATAGTTATTTTGGCAGCTGACCAATCAGGAGCCAGAGCAAGGGGTTTATTCTGAAAACATGAACAAAGATTTAGAGAAAAAAAAGAAAAGAAAACAGTTTTCTGACTTTGCTGGACAGCTTGAATAATATGACTCCTGATCAAACCTTTATTTGTTTGCTGTCTTCCTGTTAGACCTTCTGAAAAAAGTGACTTGGCAAAGCCTGCAACTGTGGCCAAAAGAGGCTGAAGTTACCATACAGGAGTGATTCAAAATACAGGAGCATCTAAAAAAATGAATGTAAGAAAAAAGTAAACTTATTCCAATTATTAGGTATAAAAAAGATGCTTGTTTAAATTCAATGAAAAAAGGGATAATTTCTTTAACCATGTATTTCTGGTAAGTATGGTTTAAAGTAGATAAAAAAAAAATTCAGAAAATGTTACATAATATAAAAAAAAAAAAAAAAAAAACACTTTTTGTTAACAAATAAAAACTTACTGAACAGCTTCTCCATGAGCTGTAGACCCTATTCCCTTAGTATTTGGTCCAGGTACCCTACAGTATGAGAATAATGCAGAATCAATGCGGCCTGGCGCAGAGGCAATCAGCCTGCGATTCTCATCATCTGCATCATTGGCCTCTCTTTTTTTCTTCCTGAAAACACTCCACAGATTCTCTGTCTAAAACATTTTGGACTCTCAGTTTCTCAGCTCATCCTCCAGGCTCAGGGAAACCATGTTGGATCAGCACCTTTTTTCAAAATTTTTTTTCCTTGTACGTATTTTTCCATCAACATACTTAAGTACAATTTTGTGACAACCAGACTCTTTGATAATGACCATTTGTTACCTTTTTTCTTCATGTGGAGGATGCAATTCCATTACAAATGTGCACAAAGTTATGCCAATATTCTGCTAAATTAAAAAAAGCAAAATTTATATTAAATAGCAAATGCGATTAAAATAGCACATGAATACGCTTGTTAACATGTTAACTTTGAAAAAACGATATGACAGTGGCGAATGCAAACACATGAAATATATCTAAATTTCATCCTCCAACTACTTCTATTCTTCTTCATCATCTTTTTAAAAGGCAGTAACGTCCAGTTACGGATCACGTGACTCGTCTGGTGCAAAATAAAATGTTTCCATTGCAGTTTTGTTACATGTAAGGATTTTAATACGACCGAAAAACCATCACAACAAAGTGTAAAACCTATTTATAAAAAAAAAGCTTTTACATTTAGCAAATTTATTTTTATAATTGCTATTTGTGCGTTTTAACGGTTAATGGAAACACACCTTCTGACTGTCTGCTAAATAAGTCAGTTTTACTTAAAGTAACTGATAAAGCATAACATGGGCCCAAAATTTCCATTAGCTTCTTTATAAATATTCAAATTTTATAAGAATTCGAAATGTAGATTTTGGCAGCATAGCAATCAAAATTTCCAGAAAGTAGAGGTTTGAACCCTAACACTCTGTCTTTAAAAGGTAATGTATAAGTTTTCCTTTAAAAGTTAATTTACAGAACCAAGATTACTTTTTGGTAAAACTCTGAAACTCTAATCGAGTGAAATTGCCCTCTGTGCCCTTTCTGCTTTTTATTTCAAGGCTTTATGCCGCCTCACAAAAACAATCAGTTGTCTTTCTTCCATTAAAGAATAAATATATGAACTTTACTTGGACTAATAAAACACAACCTTCGTGTGAATAAAGCTCAAACAAGCCAGAGGCCTGGTTCAAGAAAAGAGTTTTATTTAGACGCAATGACCCTTCAAAATGAAAAAGACTGGTTGTATTTGTTTTCACGTTGGCGGTTTGGAGACAAACCAGCTTGTTTAATCTAATTGAAATAGAGGGAAAAGGGGAGATGAAGAAACCCGATAAATCAGGGAAGAATCTATCAAGTACTGGAAGGTGAAGATGAACAAGAAAGGGCCTTGTGAATGAGGAGCCATTTCAGTCCAGTTCTTGAGGTTTACAGAGGGGGGGGCGGGATAAGGTTACCCACACAGATTAGCCGACAAGAGAGAATGAGTGAGAAAAACTATCAAACTAGTTTAAAGGTAAGTTTACTTGGGTCACTTCGCTTGCCCGCCATTGAAAGTGCTTTTAAATCACCTGAAAATGATTCCCCTTCACCTCCTACCTCCATTCTTTTTAA